TTCTGACCCCCACCCTTCTGCGGCCAAACAGATACCTTGTGACCCAGCTGACCACACTTGTAACAGGTGAAATCCCCCTGACCACCGCTCCCGGAGCCTACACTCGGCACTGGAAAGGTCGATCTAGTATCCATAGATAAGCATACAAGCTGTATCCACACACTGCCTACATAAACTGTTGTAATTTACTACTTTAAATGGTCGATCAAAACCACCTAATAGTAACCATCGGCGGTGAATAGTAACCTCGATGATGAAAGTACCTCCATTGATGAATAGTAACTGCGGACGAAAAATGCCCGGTAGGATGCTTAAAATAGCAAGAACATCAAGTACCCAAGACAAAATAGAAACTTGGTTGCAAGTTGGTAGGGGCCGCCCCATCGATCACTCTCGGTGAAGAAAGACTGTTGACTAGTTATATACCAAAACATAAAAAATATCTACACCACACATGAATTTTTCTTTACACTTTTCTGTGCAGATAAGTTTCCCATCTACTAAATATGTTATACTAATGCATGAATACAAAATTTATCTTGAATAATAACTAAGGCAAAATTGTAGCACATCCTAGTACATTGATACATCTGCTAAAATTAGCAAAAATAGAAGGCCACAAGGAGGATTGAGAACAAATAGTATTGTGATTGTAATTGTGTGGAAAAAAATTACCAAGGTAAGTGGAATCTTTCTATATTTTATGACTTCTCTTGGAGCACAAAAGGGAGAAAGAATTATTCCCAAATATATTCAAACAATAAACAGTCTTCATACTAGTTTCACCACTGGTATATGTTTGACTGTGCTGAATGGATCACAACCTTCCCTTTAAATTCTCCTTCCATCCTTCATTTCCTGGGTCATTCTAAAAACTCCTCTCCTCTAACCTGTTCTGCTGATCCTGTTTCCCCTGCTGTACGGTTCCTCTGCTATGCTGATCCATAAAAGAAAAAAAAAAAATCTCAGATTATTGCTGCTACCTTTGCTAGTCTGTTAAAAAGAGGGTCTGAGGGTTGAAGCTGTTAGTCCTGGTAATAGTCTGCTAGTCTGCTAATAGTGTTGCTGATCTGTTAGTTTGCTAATATTCTTGGAATTAGTCTTCCATTGAGTGTAGCTGGCTGCTTTTGTTGGGCTACTTGAACTAAATTCTCGACATACATTAAATGTGTTTAGTCTAATTATATGAACTTGCTGAGATATGTTGTATGTTTTCCAAATTAATAGTGTAATTTATTTATTTACAACTCAAATGTTGTTCATGTATGTAGAATCAGCTCTTTTATTTGTTAATTATTACTGTTGACGTATATGTATGTGTTCACATTAACAATTTGTGCTTATCTATGTGCTCATTGTGCACTTCTCGTTTGATTATGTTAAAATGTAACAGAATGGCTCCTGCAAAGAAGATGCGCCGTTTACCACCACCGAAGAGGGCATTACTTGAACCCTACTCACCCTCGACCGATACATGTATAGATTATCCGGACGGTCTTGCAGCAGATGGATGTGAGCCTATTGGACCATCTTTGTCTCAAATGAATGTGTTGTCAGGATCTGAGACTATTGCACCAACGCCGTCTCAAACTAATGCACCACATGGATTTGAGATTTGTGAAGCATCTCCGTCTGAAACGCATGCACCATCTCCTCAAAGTCAAACAAGTGGCGCAGGTAATTAAATATGTTTCATCTACCTTCAATGTATCCATTGTTTATATTTTTACATTAGTAAATACACTAATAACATTATCAAATATGTAGGTGCATCTTCATCAAGGCGAGTGCGGGGACCAACAGTTGGAAAAGCAACAGCAAAAAGAGTTGCCAACAATAATGGGAACAAGCTCCACATTCCAATCACTGAGACATTCAATGCATTCGAAGGTGTGCTAGCGACCCCAGGAGCTAATGAGATTGGCATTCAGATTAGGAGGATGTGCCCCATTCAAGGTGTTAAAAGTTGGACTGTTGCTGATCCTGCGACAAAAGGGGCTGTTGTACAAGCTGTCCGGGTATGATTTAATTTCTTTCATAGTATGTGTGGATTATGGAAGAAGTGCACTTTTCATGTGCATGTAGGATGGGAGTTTGTTTTGTTTGTTGGTTATGAAAGCTTGTCATGCATAGTAAAACTCTGCATATCTCGTTCCACAACAGTTTTACCTATTAGATTGCCATTCTGACCCTCTGATTCATAATGGTAATCATGGTACCACCTCAGGAATCGTAGGGCAGAGAAACAACTAAATTATAGGGTGTTAAGGAATTATGAGCACTGTATTGAGTTTGCACTAATGCCATTTGTCATACAATACTATGAATGATTGTTCTTATAGCCCTCTGGCGTTTTTTCACCATATATTAGGATGTTGATTCAACCCTTGTGGATTTTACACATCAGTTGACACATCAGTTGATAGGTTCATATGAATGTCTAAGAATGAATCCACATACAACTGATGTTACACATAACATTTTATTTGAAAAGCTCAACAATACATCATGTGCTTTCAGTCAGTTTATTTGAAAAGAGAAAAAAAATAAAAAATAAAAAACTTGGGTTTGATTATTTTTCATGTATGTACCGTTAGAGGTTGAAATATTGTGCAGGTATTTCTATTTATAGGTTCTTTGCTTTTTGGACATTAATGTCCCAATTAATATTACTATACTTTATATTCAATGTTTGGGAAGGCAAGTTAGATTCAATGTTTAGGAAGATAGTTAGATTCAATGTTTGGAATACCTATAGTTATTAAATGTTATATATATATATAGCATGGTGTAGATTTATTTAATTTTGTAATTTCGTATAGAATGATATAGATTTATACTAAATTAAAAAAAATGTTATGTATATCAAAGGGGAAGAGGGGGTTATAACTATTAATGAATCGTGTTTCATTGATACTCTAGAAGAATTATATGATAATAATATTTTAAACGTTATCTTACTGAGTACTTTATTTAAAATAATAAATTAGGCACTACAGCACATCAGTTGATGTGTAAGAATGAATAAGAATAAGAATGAATCACCATATACTAACAATGAATCGTGTTACACATCAGTTGACAGGTTCATATGAATATGTCTATCAGTGTAGCTGGGCCTAACTTATTTTCACTCTAAGGCGACCTAGGCTTGTTCACGAGCTTAAATCTCCTGATTTAGACATAATTGGTCTAATGATTATATTCAAGAAAATAAATCCAAAGAAGGAGAAAATGGCATATGAATATAATGTCCAAACAATTTAGCGCTTGTACACGTATACAAAACTCAACTTCTTGTGATATGATTAGAAGGTCTGTGTTATCTGTGCTCTTTAATCGATTTAGCGTTCAAGAAAATAACTTTTCTGGACTGCTCTACCCTTAGTATATAAAGTATGAGATTTAGACTATGATACACTGTGGTTGAATCCACACCTAAAGGATTTTAATTTCTCAATCCTTTATTTCATCTGTAATATAAGCCAGATCAGATTGTGCTGTGGAGGAGCACTGATGCAATGAGTTGTGATGAGCCCATTGAGCTGGAGGCAGAGCAGCTCTGTTATGAACTAGTTTTTAGGTGTTGTTCTGTTTGCTAGTGAAAGGTCTGATGATCTGCTATTGAACTATCTGGTTATCTGGTGTTCTGTGGCTGGTTAGTCTTCATTGAACTATCTTTTAGTCTACTTGGCTTGTTGATCTGTTCGTCTGCTATCAGTCCTTGTGCTACTCTGTCTGGTGCTAGTCTGGTAGGTTATGGTGACTGTTAAGAGGGTGTGATTGCTTAACTAATCTGTTGGTAGTCTGCTGTTAGTGGCTAAGAAGCTGAACTAATCTGATAGTTGCCGATCTAATCTGTGGGTAGCTTGCTGATCTAGAGGAAGCTGTTAATGTTGTTTTTGCTAAGCTCATCAGTGGCTGCATGTAGTGGTTGTGTTGTTGGTTGCTGAATATTAGAGAATTAGAAATTAGAAATTAATTCATTTCCTGAATATTTTATTTCATTCTTTGGAGGCTGCTAAATACATTCTTAAACTATTTATCTGCTATGCTTCACCTAACCTAGTTTTGCTGCCGAGTGAGAACTTTGACTAAACTATATTTCGCACAATTTTTTTAATCTTTATTTCTTTTGAAACCACTGTGATTTGAGGGTACTGCCTTAGATTTATAGAAGGTTGGTTATGTCAACAAACTTCTTGGATATTTTAGATTGTCAAAAAAGTCTCATTAATTAACAAGATTGTCAAAAAAATCTAATTTCTTTAACAAGACTAATTTCATTAATAAAAAAATCTAATTTATTAAATGTGTTCTTTCTTTTATGAAGTGATGTTCTTTTTCATTAAATTTTGCACGTTGCCGTAATTAAATATCACTGTAACGAGGATTTCAGAATGTTGTGGATTTTATCGGTGGTGTTTTTTGTAACTGTTCTCTTTTAATGATATTTAATAAACTAGTTCGTAATATATTTCACATTATTTTGTGGTTAAAAGGATCATGGGTTTAAGTTTTAACTTTTTATGCTGTTAATTTGCATTTAGTGTGAAAGGGAGTCTCTAGTTAGGTGAAAATACTGAATCTGTGACTTTTAATCTAGAGATTCTGAACTTCAGTTTAATTACTATGTTATGTAGATGATCGGTCTATTGGCATCAAATCAGCATGAAAGTCATGGCTGGGGAATTTGAAGTCACCAACTGACGTAGGATTAAGTCTCCAAATTCATGTTTGTTGCTCATCCTGATGCAGAGTTTCCAGTAACAAGCTCTGTGAAATCATATAGAATGAAGGATCAAATTATGTACCTTCGTTGCAAAGTATTGACCACCTTCACAAGGCTTCTTAGTATTGTTATCATTGTTTAACTATATATGTCACAAACCCTTACAATTTGGATTTTTGTATCTAACCATGACCCAAAAAATTGACTTAGTACTTTAACTATATATGTAATAAACCCGTACAATGTGGATTTTTGTAGCACCGCTACGACGCCGGAAAAAATAATAGGAGCAAGCTACCCTACAATCACACTAGTAGGTCGCGATCTTTTCCGGCAGCGATGAGTATTGCGGTGAGATGTATTTCGTTGATTTTATTAACTTTATCCACACTTATTTAATATGTTACCATATTAATGAAGGCGTGTTCTTGTTGGTGTTTGGCATATCACAGGTGAAGGAAAATGGTGGATTGTTGCCAGATCTCTGTAATTTCTACAAGGACACTCATCAACACAAGAAGACAAAACAGTGGATTGATCCTATATGCGGTGATTTACATGCAAGTATTCCAATCATTTGGACACTTATACATGAAACTTTTGTGTTTGTCTTATATTAACAATATTTATATTTTACAATTATAGGAGCAAATGACAAGGGTGCGGGATGAGTCTATCGAGGCTGGAACGCCGATGAGGCAAGAGGATATATCAATAGTGGTTCTTGGTAAGAAGAAGGGATACTTGAGAGGATTTGGGGTTGGACCAAAGCCTTCTTCTTGTGATACTGGGTTCTCTGCTGCATCACAAGCACGTGACGAGCAATTGAAAAGGCTTACATCCGAGTTGGAGATAATGCGTGCGGAGCAGCAGAGCAATTTTGAGGAGCAACAAAAAAAAGAAGAGGAGCAACAAACGAAAGAGGCAGAGAATACAAGACAACGTGAGGAGATGCAGCGCCAGCTTTTTGGACTTCAGAGCATGTTGGCGCAAGTATTGGAAAATCGCAATCCACCAAATTCTCGACAATAGATAGTCATGGTAATTGGTAAGTGTGTTAAACCATATTTCATTATATTTATGTTCAAAGTAAAGGCGAATAAACGTTTGATAAGAATATCATAGAGAAATCATTGTCTTTAAACTAATTTTAGTTCAATATGTTCAATATTTAAAAGATGGAATTTACAGTTTAGTTTATGTTGACCAGTATAGAAACTTTAAACATTGTAATGTTCCACTGATCCAAGGATGAATAGTTAAACAAGAATTTTTTATTGTTCCATGGAAACCAAAATGTGATAGAGAAGGCAAAAAACGAGCCGGTTGGGGCAAATAGTTGGAAACAGCCTGGAAACAACCCGAGATCGTAGTGGTCACCTCGGCCTAGATCAAACAAACTTGTGAAAGCAAGCAATGCTTCGATAGGACGCATTATTAGTTATGTAGGACATAAAAGTGTGACAAAGTAGGCAAAACCGGGGCATTTGGGGTCCAAAACTGCTCTGAATTAGCTCCTCTCTATTTCTTTTGTTTCCTTCTTTTCTCTTCCTTTAGTGGTCTGCATGGTGAAGTATTGCATTAGTCATGAAGGTGGACTGATCTGGAGCAATTCTGCTGGTCTGCATCAGATCTGTCTGGATGCTTATGGTGGTGTGCTCCAGATCAATTCTGGTGTTGTGCTCCAGAGCAGCAGGTGGTCTGCTCCAGATCTGTGGTGGTCTGCTCCAGATCTGTGATGGTTGTGGTGGTCTGCAGCAGGTGGTCTGCTCCAGATCTGTGATGCTTGTGGTGGTCTGCAGCAGATCAAATCTGGTGCTCTGCTCCAGATCTGTCTTGCTTTTTCCTCATCTATCAATCATCCTCATCTATCTGGATGGTCATCTTGATCAGTCTGGATGCTTGTTTTTGGAGTAAACTGGTGGTCTATATTGTGAAATTAGAAATTTTCATAATTTTTGTAAGAAAAAATGTCGAATTTCACAATTTCTCAAATTGAGAAACTAAAAAAATTACAATGCTTAAGAAACTGCAAAAGTGCACACTTTCTGTATAGAAATTGAGAAACTTCTTGATTTTTAAATATTGTGAAATTTCTAAATTTCAAATGCTACACATTAGAAACTCACCCAGGAAAAAGTGCACAAATCATCATCATGGATTGTGGGCCTTATTCAAGATAATATAGTACTGAGAACACCATACATTTTGTTGTATGAAAATGTTAGTGTTTGTATTTATTTTGATGGAATATGATCTTCAGGTGGTGATGTCAAATGACATCGTTACAGAAGAAAGAATACAAATTAATAGTCAACTATATATGGTGGTGACTATCAACACCAATTCATAGTTTGTATTTATAGGTGACAGTCAACTATCAATACAAAGAATTAATGATCGATGTATCAAATTTATTAGAGAGCTGCTATATATTATTTTTTGTTTTAAACATTTTTTTATATCACTGATCAATACATGCATGATAAATATAAAGTAATATATTAGTATTTGCTTTTTCTAATACTTATCTCTAAATAAAAACGATTAGAAATAAAACTACCCAATAGTCACAAACTTAACTTTTTTGCAGTATAAAAAGTTCCGTTTTACAAGTAGACTGCCTACCTCCCCTTTGAGGAGTGAATTGGTTTGGTTAATCAATCGAACAGCCTCTGGGTAGTCAAGTGCCACACCCCTTATCCGATCTGTCGGCATTGGCATCTCCCTTTGCATCAGTTCCGATATTGCCATGTAATGAAACATGTTCATCATCCATTCATTCATTATTTATCAACTAGATATATAGATTGCCAAAATAGGAGTTTAATTTAATTCACATGAAAGGTTCATTGAGGAAGATAGGAGTTATTGGCAATATGGATCAATTTTAGCTGCCGTGTTTGGTTACTGCTGTGTGGCACTATATTGGATCTGGAATGGTGGTTGATCCAATTTATTCTATAGACATAAGAATGCTATTGTTTTATTTACAATTTGATAATGGTAGTCATTTAATTTGCTAATGTGACCTTTGCTTTTCATGGACTTTTTTCATTGTTTGTCCAATTTTAACTGACATTATTTATCTTTTTCTTTAGTACAGATGGATGAACTCGTGCACAAAGCTAAATTGTACAGGACAAATTTGCACTTTTTGCATTTTTGGAAGGATTATATATTTTTGTATAGATATATATGGAAAATATTAGGGTAGACTAGTAGTTATATTTTTTGATACACTACTAGTTATATTTTTGGATGGGTGTGTATAGAAAATATTTGGTTGATATATGTATTTTGTTGATACATGGAAAATATTAGGGTAGACTAGTAGTTATATCCAAAATATTTGTGGATGTAAACTTATAATAGTTGCTGACATTAATTAAACAGGTTCAGAAATGGTTGATATATGTATTTTGTTGAATGTTGATGATTCAACTTATTTGTTGGTTTGAATGATTTCTTCTTTTTACAGATTATATTGAATAAATTGGATGGATTATTATAAATTACAGGTTTATTTTGTTGGATGTTGGCGACCAAAATTTGGTTTTGTTTTTATAGTTTTGGCGACCAATTGATTAGTCGCGAAATGTCACAATTGGCGACAAAAAAAATATTGGTCGCGCAAGGTGACAATTGGCGACCAAACAAATTTTGGTCGCAGAATGTCACAATTGGCGACCAAAATTTTTGGTCGCGCAAGGTGACAATTGGCGACCAAACAAATTTTGGTCGCAGAATGAGACTATTGGCGACCAAAAATT